AAACTATAGGCTGGTTATCCTGACCTCAGTCATTGGTATGATTTTAGAGTTTATTATTAAGGATGATATTGCAAAACACTTGGAAGTACAGAGTAAAATAGGAATGAGTCAGCATGGCTTCATCAAGAGGAGGTCATGCCTGACAAATCTGTCAGAATTATTTCAGGAGGTAATGAGTAAGTTAGACAAAGGAGAGCCATGGTCATGATCTATTTGTATTTCAAGAAAAGACCTTTGACAGGATGCTGCATAGGAGGCTGTTAGATAAGATGAGGCCATTGTATTTGGCAAGGTAATGGCAAGGATAAAGGATTGGCTGACTGACAGAGGACATAGAGTGGGAATAAAAGGGTCTTTTTGAGGATGGCAGCCAGTGACTAATGGAGTTCCAGTGGGGTCAGTGTTGGTACCACAATTATTCAAGTTATACATTAACAGTTGGATGAAGGAACTGAGGGCATTATTGCTAAGTTTGCAGATAGTGTAAACAAAGTTAAGTGGAGGGACAAGTAGTGTTGAGGATGTGGGGAGGCTGCAGAAGGACTTGGACAGGCTAGGAGAGTAGGCAAGGAAGTGGCAGATTGAATACAATGTGGGCAAGTGTCAGGTTATGCAGGAAGAATAGAGGCATAGACTATTTTCTAAATGGGGAAAGGCTTTGGAAATCTGAAACGCAAAGGAACTTTGGAGTCCTAATTCAGCATTCTGTTAAGGTTAACATGCAAGTTCAGTTGGCAGGTAGGAAGGCAAATGCAACGTTAGTATTCATTTCAAGAGGGCTAGAGTACAAGAGTAGAGGCTGAGGCTGTATCAGGTTTTGGTCAGACTGCACATGTAATATTTTGAGCAGTTTTGGCCCCCTATCTAAGGAAGGATGTACTGTCATTGGAGGGGAACCAGAGGGTTTTACAAGAATGATCCTGGGGATGAAGAGCTTGAGGACTCTGGGTCTGTACTCGATAGACTTTAGAAGGATGAGAGGGGATCTGGCTGAAACTTACAGAATACTGAGAAGCCTGGATAGAGTGGAGATGAAGTTTCCATTAGGAGGAGAGAATAGGACCCGAGGGTACAACGTCCAAGTGAAGGGACGACCCTTTAGAACTGAGGAATTTCTTCTGCTAGAGGGTGGTTAATCTGTGTAACTCACTGCCACAGAAGGTGATAGAGGCCAAGTCATTGAGTGTATTTAAGACAAAGATAGATAGGTTCTTGATTAGTAAGAAGGTCAAGGGTTAACGGGGAAAGGCAGGAGAATGGGGTTGAAAAATGTATTAGCCATGATCAAATGGTGGAGCAGACTTGATGGGCCGAATATTTTAATTCTTCTCCGATATCTTATGGTTTTATAGTCTTTAATAATGCAACAGAAACCCAACTTAAATGTACTCGCAAGCCTTACAATCTGATTTTGATTAATGATCTGGCCACCAAAAACTGTTCCTCAGGAGGATCAGGCAAGCTATGTGTACACACTGAATAAGATCAATCAATCCTAGCCCGGATTTTCGCTACCGAGGCACATAGCCTGAGTTTGGAAATTCCCTGACTCATCAGGCCCATCTCAGAAGAAAGGCACCCCAAATGCCACACCTTTGAGTTATGGCATTATTAGGTAGAACCGGGTCCCATTGTCTCTTAAAAACAAAAGGTCATGGGGATGCCCAAATGTCATGGCCTGTTGGCTAAAAGATGCAACTCGGTTCACTTGGACTTTGTCCTAGTTATAGTGTGACATTTTAAGTACTCCATTACTCTTCCACTCCCACCTCCATGCCAACTCTATCATTTTATAATCTGACCATTTATTTAGTATACACAAGGTACAGAACGAATGAGTCACACAAGAACATTGGCATCTGTGGAGCAGCTTAGAAAAAAGCTCCAAACAATCACAACTCTTTTGAGAAGGAAGACTGCTCTTCCTACAACGCTGTAAAAATGTCAATCTGACAGACCATTATAGTTTCAACAACAAACACTTTATGTCTATTAACCTTGCATAAATAAACATTGAGACATTGATAAAAGTGATTACAGAAGAACCACATATTATTATCACTTAAAGATGGTCATACAGCAAGGTCAACAGTTCTCTCCAGCTGTCAAGACAGAACCCTTCAATGATAACTCTTTGAGACAGTAAGGATTGCAGATGCTGAAAGCCAGATTCAATACATGTGAAGCTGGAAAAGCACAACAGGACAGGAGCATCCAAGGAGCAGGAAAGTCAACGTATCAGGCCAAAACCCTTCATCAGGACTGAGGAGGGGGAGGAGAGCTCAGAAGTAAACCGAGGGAGGGGCGGTGGGGCCTGGGGAAGGGTAGGTGGGATGGTGATAGGTGGATGCAGCTATGGGGTTATTGTGATTGGCCAGCGGGAGGGGTGGAGTGGGTATGTGAGTAGGAAGATGGATAGGTTCGGTCAGGTCAGGGAAGTGAGGAAGAGGGGAGAGCTGGACAAGAGATAAGGCTGTGGGTGGAGGGATTTTGAGCTGGTGGAGTCAATGACCCTACCTCTGATCACCAAGCCATCATCTCCCAGACCATCAACAACCTCACCACTTTGAAAGATCTCCCATCCACAACCTGATAATTCCCCAACCCTGCACCACCCGTTTCTATCTCCTTTCCAAAATCCATAAACCTGACTGCCCCAACTGACCCACTGTCTCTGCCTGCTCCTGCCCCACTGAGCTCATCTCCTCCTACCTCAACTCCGTTCTTTCCCCTTTGGTCCAGAAACTCCCTACCTACATTAGTGTCACAATCCACGCCCTTCAACTTTTCCAAAACTTTCAATTCCCCAGCCCCCAACACCTCATCTTCACTGTGGACATACAGTTCCTTTACACCTGCATCTCCCACATGGAGGGCCTAAAAGCCTTCTGCTTCTTCCTCTCCCATAGGATTAACCAGTCCCCCTCCAGTGACACACTCATTCGCTTGGCAGAACTGGTCCTCACCCTCAATAATTTTTCCTTTGATTCCTCCCAATTCCTACAAACCAAAGGTCATAGCATCTGCATTGGCCCAAGCTATGCCTGCCCCTTTGTAGGATTTGTGGAACATTCCCTCTTCCACAACTACTCCAGCACCATGCCCCACATCTTTCTCCGCTATATTGATGACTGTGTCGGGACTGCCTCGTACTCCCGCAAGGAGCTCGAGGAGTTCATCAACTTCGCCAACAGCTTCCATCCTGCCCTCAAATTTACCTGGACCATTTCTGACACCTCTCTCCCCTTCCTGGACCTCTCCATCTCCATCTTTGGAAACTGACTCACCACTGACATCCATTTCAAAACCCGCTGACTCCCACAACTATCTCGACTACCGCTCCTTTCACCCACCTGCAAAAGTACCATCCCAAACTCTCAATTCCTCTGCCTCTGCTGCATCTGCACCCAGTATGAGGTGATTTACTCCAGGACATCTCAGATATCCTCCTACCTTAAGGACCATAGTTTCCCCCCCTCTGTAATTAAGGATGCTCTCAACTGCATCTCCTCCATTTCCTGCACTTCCACCCTCAAACCCCCTCTCCTCAACAACAATAAGGATAGAGTCCCCTTAGTCTTTACTTACCACCACTCCAACCTCCCAATCCAATGCATCATCCTCCAACATTTCCACCACCTACAATCAGACCCACCACTAAAAAGTTATTTCCTTCCCCACCGCTGTCCACTTTCCTCAGGGACTGTTCATTCCATGACTCCCTCATCAGCTCTACACACCCCATCAACTTCTCCATCACCTTTCCCTGCAACTGCAAGAGGTACAACACCTGCCCCCACACCTCCCCTCTCATCTCCATCTAAGGACCCAAACAATTCTTCCAGATCGGGCAGAAATTCACCTACACTTCATCCAATCTGATCTACTGTATCCATTGCTCCCGATGTGCTCTCCTCTATATTGAAGAGACAAAACGCAGACTGGGGGACCGGTTCAGAGAGCATCTGCACTCTGCACGGACCAACCAACCCGACCTTCAGGTTGCCATCCATTTTAATTTCCCCTCCCACTCCCCTGGTGACATGTCCACCCTTGGCCTCCTCCACTGTCAGAGTGAGACCAAATGTAAACTGGAGGAACAACACCTGATATTTTGCATTGGGAGGTGACAGCCCAATGGCCTCAATATTGACTTCACCAGCTTCAAAATCCCTCCACCCTTAGCCTTATCCCATCTCCAGCCCTCCCCCTCCTCCTCGCCTCCCTGACCTGACCTGACCTGTCCATCTCCCCACTCACCTATTCACTCCTCCCCTCCCACTGACCAACCACAATAACCCCTACCTGCATCCACCTATCACCATCCCATCTACCCTTCCTCCGGACCCACTGACTCCCTCTATTTATTTCTGGCCTGCCCTCCCCAGTTCTGATGAAGGGTTTCGGCCAGAAACGTTGACTTTCCTGCTCCTCGGATGCTGTCTGACCTGCTGTGCTTTTCCAGATTCACATCTAAAGATAATTCTTTTATGGCCCTAGACCCTCAGCAGTGTGTAATGAAGATTATCCCCGGTCCTAATCCAACAGTAATATGGGGCATTTGGAATGTAGGCTGGAATCCTGGAATAAGGTTAGCAACCCACTTACCACTCCATGAAAATCTCAGCATACATTTCCATCTCCCACTGTCAAGTTTTTCAGTGCAAACAGGGTTGTAAGAAAATGAAAATAGTTCCAAACCTCATGGAATGATTCATTGTATGAAATAGAGAACATAAGCAAACTACAATATGTTAATATTTGGATCCCTAGTACGTTATATCACATTTCAAATATTTCAAATATATTCTGAAAGAGCTATGTACTTCACCCCTCATCTGTAGAAACTACAGTTTATAGATGACTAATTTCACCTAATTATTTTGATTATTAAACAATCTGTGATTTCTAAAATATTGAAATAGAAGGAATAGCTCAACTTACCACAATGCTAGAAGAAAGAGACAGTTTATGACATCAAAGATGTATATGCTACTTACAATCAGAGGGCCTCGGTTGTTTTCACGATATTTGTTTTGAAAGAAGATATAAACTACTGTAGCTGCCAGTGAATACAGGAATGCGAAGACTGCGATGGTGACGAAGAACTCTGCAGATGATGAGTAGTCGCCTATCAGAAACAGCCTCTCCTGCTTTTTTCCTTCACATGTGGGTGCATCAAAATACACTTGGTGTAACCTAGAAGTACACAGAACAATGGACCAGCATTAGATGTGACATCATTGCCTTTTGAATCGTTTCCTGAAGATATGTTTTAATTACCCATGAAGTAAGCTAGTTACAACTTTTTTTGCAATAGATACAACTAAATCAGGGCATTATATTAATTGGAATACTTAGCTCTCCACTATCCCATTCTGTGAGATAGGCGTGGAGAAGGGTTTTTGGCTAATAGGTGTGTTTTACAGAAAACATGACAGCAAAGTCTTTTTTAAAAGGAGCCTTGACGAACTACAACAAACAAACTCTTGTGTGACCGAAACTGCTTCAGCATCTCCTGACAAAAGTGCAGTTCTTACTCCAGCAAAATGCAGTCAACTAAGGACATTTCCATTTAAATAATGTGTAAAATAAATTCCAGGCATTTAGAGTAATGTGATCTGCAGATGTGATTAACTGGAGATATCCCAAACATCTTGTGTTCTGCCTGAGAATAATGGTGTAAGAATATCAGCCTCTTTGTTTCTCAGGCACCTTTGTTCCGAAAGTACTCAATGTGGATTATGTTTGACTAACAAATTATACTTTTAAGATTGCTTCTAAATTTTAGGAGAATGAATAACATGCCAAATAAGTCATATTGTTGCCTCTTATAGGGAGGATAAAGTTAGGGTTTGGATGACCCTGGTATTGTAAAGTTTTGAGACTAGTTCAGAAATTGCTCTATAAATGATAAGTCATTGTGATTCCTCCTGGTACAGAATAGAACTGCCCCTGTAAGGATCCTGAGTAAAGAAGGGAAGTGATCATGAGTGGCCTTACGAAAGGGACAAGCAATAATGCAATCAACCTGTAGCTATGTGAGGTTTAGTTTAGGCAGAAAGTTGGTTCATCCCTGGTATGGAATTCTGTCTTCGTTGAAGATTCATTGTTATTTTTAAAATTAAATTTCATATACTTTACACTCTGTGGAATTTTATTGGTGTTCTCAGTAGAATAGTTATTACCATTAGCTAAATTTTAGATTAGGGAGTTCAGGTTTGAGGAGTGACTGAACACTACTAGGTTATGCACAAAGTTCTGACCTGACATAGGGATGAAGTCAAATGACTTGACAATTACAGTAGATCACAAAGTATAAGTTAACTTGGCATACAAGATCACTCCATTTTTCTGGACTGAAAAAAACACCTTTTTGTATTTACTTGATATATAGGTCTATCTCGCTGTGTAATGCTCTACTCACATTAGTTGTCAACCTCAATATTCCACTCACAAGTGTATATTTTTATTTCCCTCATAACTGGGTTCAAGAAACTGTGCAGGAACTAAGAGCTGTATTGCAAAGGTGCATGGAAATTTGAGACATGCCCACACAGAGCAGAGCCATCTGATAAACCAACGGACGAAGAAGGAATCCAATCTGGTGAAGATGCTCAAGGCCAAAAACACCATAACTAGTCACTGACCAGTCACTAGTCTGACCTTGAGAAGCATGTGTCAGAATGGATCATCAAAAGTTATCAGATTGGTTTCATCATCATCAGAAATACAACGTGCGCGTACATGCATTTAAATGGGCCAAATCAAATAGAGTCCAGCAAAGATTCAGAGCAACAGTTACTTGGTGTAGCTGGTTTATGGAAGGAAAATCTCAGGTGTTGCAGTAAAAGACCCAGGTCACAGAGACTACTAAAAGACCTCATTGCCAAAATGACCAGTTTCCAGTATTCATCATCACACAGCAATGCTGACAACGATGCTATAGTAAAGTGACCCAGAATGAATCCAACTAACTCTTTATTAATTGAAGACAATGTATTTGACTGCTTTTAAAATACCCTCATTGTGGCTAAATGTAACTTAACGCACTTAAATTATTCAAAAAAAAGTGCCATGTTAACCTAATATGCAGTACTACTGTTAGTTTTTGTGTCATATGTTAAAATGGTACCCACCCACAAGTATGGTTTACATTTTATAATCAGCATATATGTCAACCCCCATTTATGGAATGATTTCTGCAGACTTCTGTTGATACCTGTAACAACTAGAATTTTGACACATGATTGAAGCAACAGCGATTTTGCAAAAAAGTAGATGAAACATAATGTGGGAAAACGTGAACTTGTCCGTTTGGGCAGGAACAGAACTGCAGTTAATTGGAGGGAGATTGCAGAACATGGTGGTACAGAGAGATCTGAATGTCCTGGTTTAGGAACCATAAAATGTTAGAATGCAAGGCCATTAAGTCATTAAGAAGTAAAACAGAATGTTGCCCTTTAGTGCAAGGAGAATGGAATATAAAAGTTGAAAATTTCATTGCATCTATACTATATCTGGAGCACTGTTTTGTGTTCCCTGCATTTAAAAAAACAAAGATATAATTGTTTTAGGAGAAATTCAGAGAAGGTCCCCTCGACTCATTACTGTGAATGACGTGCTAATTTATTTGAGAAAGAGAGAATGGGGGTTCGACCTATACTCAATCAAGTTTAGACGAAAGAATGATGATTTTATTCAAAAACATGGTTCAATGGTCTAATGTATAAGAGCTTAAAGTGATTATAGGTAAAGAGGATGTTTCCTCTTGTTGAGAGGACTGGAACTAGGGGTGCACTGCTTATATTTAAGAGGTCGTCTCATAAGAGGTAGGAGAGATTCTTTTCTCTCAGAGAGCCACGGAATTTTCTTCTCCAGAAAGAAGGTACGTCTGAGTCACTGAATTTATTTGAGGAACAATTACATAGACTTAGAGTCATAGTCACAGAGTTATACAGCACGGAAACAGACCTTTTAGTTCAACTTGTCCATACTGACCAGACATCCCAATCTGACCTAGTCCCATTTGCCAGCTTTTGGCCAATATCCCTCTAAATCCTTGCTATTCATAAACCTATCTGGAGGCCTTTTAAATGTTGTAATTGTACCAGCCTCTACCACTTCCTCTGGTGGCTCATTCCATACACATACCACCTTCTGCTTGAAAATGTTGTCCCTCAGGACCTTTTTAAATCTTTTCCCTTTCACCTTAAACTTACGCCCTCCAGTTTTGGACTCTCCTACCCTGGGAAAAAGACCTTGGCTACTCACCTTATCCATGCGCCTCATGATTTTATAAACCTGTAAGGGTTACCCCAGCCTCTGATGCTCCAGGGAAAAAAAGCCCCAGCCTATTGAGCCTCTCCCCATACCTCAAATCCTCCAATTGTGGCATCATGCTTGTAAATCTTTCAAGTTTAACAACATCTTTCCTATAACAGGGAGACTAGAATTGAACGCACTATGCTAAAAGTAGCCTCACCAAAGTTCTGTACAGCCACACATGATCTCCGAACTCCTATACTCAATGTACTGACAATGAAGGCGAGCATGCCAAATGCCTTCTTCAGCACTCTGTCAACCTGCAACTCCTCTTTCAAGGAACAATGCACCTGCACCCTTAAGTCTCTTTGTCCAGCAACACTCCCCAGGATCCCATCATTAATTGTATAAATCCTGCCCTGGTTTGCCTTACCAAAATGCAATACCTCGCAATAATCTAAATTAAATTCCATTTGCCACTCCTCAGCTCATTGGCCCATCTGATCAAGGTCCCATTGTACTCTGAGACAATCTTCTTCACTGTCCACTACACCACCTATTTTGGTGTCCTCTGCAAACTTACTAACCATAACTCATATATTCACATCCAAATCATTTATATAAATGATGAAAAGCAGTGGACCCAGCACTGAACCTTGTGGCACACTGCTGATCACAGGCCTCCAGTTTGAAAAACAACCTTCCACCACCATCCTCTGTCTCCTACCTTTCAGCCAATTTTGTATCCAGTTGGCTCGTTCTCCCTGGATTCCATGTGAGCTAACCTTGTTAACCAGCCTATCATGTGGAAGCTTTTGATAGACAGGGGAGTCAAAGGTTATGGGGATAGACAGGAAAGTGAAGTTGAGACCATAATTCGATAAACCATGACCTCGTCACATGGTGAAGCAGGCTTGAAAAGCCAAATGGCTTTTTAAAATTTATTCATCCATGGGTCGTGGGCATTGTTGGCTGGGCCAGCATTTATTGCTCAATCCTAGTTGACTTTGAGAAGGTGATGGTGAACTGCAGCAGTCAATTTGGTGTAAGTGGACCAATAATGCCATTAGAGAGGGAGTTCCAGCAACACTGAAGAAAAGGTGACATATTTCCAGGTCAGGATGGTGAGTAGCTTGGAGGTGGTGGTATCCTCATGTTTCTGCTGCCCTGTCCTTCTCAAAGGTGGGTTGGGAAGATGTTGTCTAAGGAACCTCAATGAGTTGCTGCAGAGCATCTTGTAGATAGTACATACTGCTGCTACTGAATGTCTGTGGTAGAGGGTGTGAATGGCACCACATCCTCAAACAAGCAAGTGGGCTGTTTTAACCTGGATGGTGTCAAGTTTCTTGAGGGTTGTTGGACCTGCACTCATATAGAAAAGTGGGGAATATTCCATCATTCCTGACTTGTGCTTTGTAGATGGTGGACTTGCTTTTTGAGTTACTCACTGATCACTTGTTCTTGTGTAATTATATGGCAAGTCCAGTTAAGCTTCTGCTCAAAGGTTGTTAATAGGATGTTAATAGTGGGGCATTCAGTGAAGTTAATGCATATGATTGTCAAGGAGCAGTGGTTAGATTCACTATTTTTGGAGATAGTCATTACCTGGCATTTGTGTTGCGTATGACACTTCCCACTGGTCAGTCAAGCCTAGATATTGTCCAGGTCTTTCTCCACTTGGATATGGGCTGCTTCAGTATCTGAGGAGTCATGAATGGTGCTGAACATCCTTCTAGCCTTATTGTAGAGGGAAGGTCATTGATGAAGCAGCTGAAGACGGTTGGGCCTAGGACATTACACTGAAGTATTCCTGCAGAGATGTCCTGGAGCTGAGATGATTAAGCTCCAACAACCACAACATCTTCTTTGAGCCAGGTATGACTTCAGCTAGCAAAGAGTTTGCCCCCGATATCCATTTTCTCCAGGTTTGCTAG